AATTCTGGGAAGTACTCTGAACAGTAGTGATGTACACATGTAATGTATATATATAGATCGATGGATCTTTTTTCTATTAATTATCTTTTGTGTGAAATCTTTGCCCCTGCAAGTAAGAGCCCCTGCAAGTAGGAGTGGTTGGTGAAGAAGGGCTACAGCCAGTTCGAAATGTTAGACAACGAGCTGGCACATCTGCCGCTGCGCCGTGCGCCACTTCCGGAGAAGAGACTCGTGGGATTTCGGCAAATGCTCAACCTCGGAGGCTTCAACGAGATCCCCGGACGGCAGCGAGATCGGGCAGATCATCCCACTCCAAAGAGAGGTGAAACGGCTTTCATCTAGAGTTGACCCGAACATGACTCCAGTTTCCATCGACTTGAAAGAGTTTCCAGCCCAAAATGCAGAGTCGGTGGCTTCCCACCGACGCATCTCAAATCATCTAAACTGATTGGATTCCGATCGTCAGGACAGCATCAACATGGGGAGGATTTCCATGACAAAAAAGGAGCAACACCTTGACGTGTTTGGATCCCGTCTCGAGGAAGCGCCTGGAGGGGCTCCGGAACTACCTCGCAGTGCTGGCGCCGCAGCTGCAGAACCTCGCTCAGGTGCCAGCGCTGCAGCACTGGGCCATGCCACCGGCATATGGCCGCTTGGGAGAATCGGAAGGAGCACGAAGAGTGGGAGGGCTAGCAGTCAGATGCAGTAAGATAGAGTTACAGCTTATCTTCAGGAGGGGAGGCTTTGCATCCAAGGCTTTGGAAGATTTGGAAGAGGAGGTTTTCATCTAGAATCTACAGAATGATAGAATGGTGGATATGTTGGTGGTGTGGGTGGAGAAGAGGGTAGAGAATCCTCATTAAACCATATAAAATAAACCAAGGGAGTACTGTACACATTCGTTGTAGGTTTTTTGACCTCGATGGTCTGAGGGGGTCGTGTAGTGCTTTTTGATGAACATGGGTATTTACGTCCATTGACCCTGAAATACATCTTCAAACATCTGAGAAAAGCCGTCCGAATGCATAGGTCTTGGGTCTGTCCTATTACCTGTAACAGTCAGTAAACAATTATTACAATTTTTGGACAAGGCCTGCAACATAACCATCATCATCCACTGTTACAGGTAATAGGATAGACCCCACATAAGTCATAACATATTTCATATACACGTTGATGGTCTGGGGTTTGGGTCATCCCCAAGTCGGATTCCGGACCGTGGGGGCAAGAGCAACTTCGTCAGTCCCGGCACGGCGGAATGGGTCATGTGTCGTGTGTTGATGGGTCATGGCGCTTCTTGGTGTGACCTGAACCGTCGATCCCGGAGAGTAGTGGAGGTATGTAACCGGTGACCCATTGGATGGTATAACCTGTAGTCAATTTATTCTGGGGTTGTTTGCTGGCAGCCTTCCGGCGGCTCAGGTGCGCCGAACCCCGTGTCGGTGCCGATGCCCGCAGCGTCGCCGGTGGCAGCACCGGTGATGGGGTCGCCTGTGGCAGCTCCAGTGGCCGCGGCATGTGTGGCAGCACCGGTGGCCACAGCTGCGGCTCCGATGGCATCAGCAACAGGCCCCACAGCAGCACAGGCCTTGGCACCATCAGCCCCACCAGCCATGGCGACACCAGAAGCGAGTGTTGTGCAGGGAGAGCCAGTGCAAGGGTCTGTGGTTCCTGGTCAGGCCGTGCAAGTGTCAGCTGCACCCGCGCCGGCGCAGCCAGCACCCGTGCCGGCGCAGGCAGCACCCATGCCAGCACAGGCAGCACCCATGCCAGCACAGGCAGCACCCATGCCAGCACAGGCAGCACCCATGCCAGCACAGGCAGCACCCATGCCAGCACAGGCAGCACCCATGCCAGCGCCAATGCAAGCCCAGGCCATGCCAATGCAAGCTCAGGCAACACCCATGCAAGCCCAGCCTATGCAAATGCAAGCGCAGGCTGTGCCAATGCAAGCCCAGGCAGTGCCCATGCAAGCGCAGGCAACACCCATGCAAGCACAGCCTATGCCAATGCAAGCACAGGCTGTCCCAATGCAAGCCCAGGCAGTGCCAATGCAAGCCCAGGCGATGCCAATGCAAGCCCAGGCAGTGCCGATGCAAGCGCAGGCAACACCCATGCAAGCCCAGGCGATGCCAATGCAAGCACAGGCTGTGCCAATGCAAGCCCAGGCGATGCCAATGCAGGCACAGGGCTTGCCAATGCAAGCCCAGGCGATGCCAATGCAGGCACAGGGCTTGCCAACGCAAGGCCAAGGTTTTCCCATGCAGGGTCAGGGAATGCCAGTACAGGGCACGCCTGTCCAAGGCATGCCTGTAGGGCAATCCGGCTTTGGTGCCCCACAGATGACGAGTCAATCCGGCTTTGGCGGTTCTGCGTAGGGGTCTCGGAGACAGATGGAGAAAGCGAAGAAGGACACTGAGAGATGGTAAGCATGTTTTGGTCCAGCTAGTGAAGGTGGCTCACAATGGGCCGAGCACATGCCACAACTATTCAAGTAACTTGGATATCCTTGAATGTTGCTTATAAATACAATGTATATACAGTATACACACATACAGTACATGTATCTCTCTCCCTCTTTGCAGTATGTGTATTTAAATATGGGCCTCCGAAGCAATGGATTTTGGTCTAGTTGTTTCACACTCATATGACCATTCCAGCCATGACTTTCTCATCTCCACCGGCCCAGCTGCCCAAACCGAGGCTCACCGCCGGCCTGGCCGGCGCCGGTTTGGGTGCGGCGGTGGGTGCTTTGGGTGCGATGGTGAGTGGCATGGGCCGCTGGGCGGAAAAACCGGGGATTATTGAGTTCCCCGGTGTGTGGAAGGAAAGAGCTGCCCAAGAGGTTTCTGTGACGTGATCAAACTGCTTGGAGGGTGATAGATTCACTGTAGGGATCTTTGGGGAGAACATGTTCATGAATGGAGCTTGGGAGTACGAACCGGCGAGCCGGCGTGTTTCCTTTCCCTGGTTTTGCTTAGGGTTATTTTTACGTTCCCCATTGGTGAATCCCCTTCCAGGGAAACCTGGTTCGACAGCAAATCCCAGTTTCGGCTGGATGTTGTGTTTGGAGCCTCCAGGGTATTTAGCCGTTATTGACGCACGTGCCAGAGTCTGGACACAGTCTGCTGCGGTGGCCAGCGGCATTGTGGCCATTCGCCCGCAAGCACCGAGCAACTCATTAGCTTCAAACATTAGGCAGCCCAATCATTTCCACATGCCCGTATCCTGCTTGATTGGTTTAGGATTGGATATTGGCGCTTTAGGGAACAATCATTTTCAACATTTTTCAACCGGTTTACATCTTGAAGATCAGGAAATCCCCTTGGTTGGGACCACCTCAATGTTAAGACGCTGCACTGCAACCTGAAGCCCGAAGCGGGAGTATATTAAGGTTTGTCCCCCCAAACAGCCGATACAGCCAGATTCTCGGTTTCATACTGGTTATATATACTCTCGAACTTTTAGAAGCCCGTTGAAGCCTAAGGGTCTCCAGGACATTTACCGTCCCTCGTTGGCCCCTAGAGTTTCGCAGTCATTCCGAAAGAGGACTTTCTTTGGAGGCCTGCATCCAACCCACCCTCCAACCCATCCAACTCCCCGATGGCACTATGAGGCCATCATGGGGACCACCATCATGAGCATCACAACCACCACCATCATGGCCATCATGACCATCATGGCTTCCGGGGAGGCCGGCGCCTGCCTCCGTCATTCATCCATCCGAAGCCCCTTGTGATTTTGGGCGCATTGAAGGTATCAGAGCCTTCCTAGAGGAATAGGCCCTGCATGGCACTGCTGTTGAAGAGCGCGTGTGCTGCGCGGTAGGAGAGGCCACCAAGCAGGTTCGGGGTCTTCGGACAGCTGCTTTTCTACATTGAACTGGAGGTCCACCTTGTCACCCAGAACTCTTGGGGAAATGGTGGAGAAATGGTGGAATAGGTAAAGTCTAAGAAAGCTTCACTAGGAGGGTCCATATTTCCGGGTAATGTTGACATAGGATTAATCACCCCCCCCTTCAAGGTCAACAAGGGCAGGAGACCACATCCCCTTAATAAAGAGGACCTGATGATGGATGATGAGATGATGACAAGATTGGGAAAGATTGGGATCGGGATGATTGGGATGATTAGGAAAGATATGAAAGAGATTTGAAGACACGATTCTTTCTGGGATGATTAGGAAAAGAAAGATGATTGCAGGATGAAAGAGATGGAAAACAAGATGGAGGCCAGAGGGTGGGCTTGATTAATAGGGGGAGGGGTCCCTACTATTGGGGGTGGTAGGGCTTGTGTGAGGGGTACCCTTTGAGAGCTTGAAAGCCTTATATATATATATATAAGATTTTGATAGAGTTTTAATAAGGGAAAATGAACGAATTTTGCTAGCAAGTTTTTTTGAATTATTTGGGAAGGATGAGAAGAAAAAGCAGGATGAGAGGCAGAAGGAGGATGATCATGATATATAATGATCGATGATTGGTGGATATTGAATACTAGCAAAAAAGAAAGTGAATAAAACAAGAATATGAATATGTATATTGTTTATTCTTCTGGTGCAGCTGGGCTTGATTAATAGGGGGATTTCTGGCAAGGAGCAAAACTTATCAGGGGGAGGTTGCAGGGTTTTAATTAGTTCAATATTGGAGGCTCCAGCTGGGCTTGATTAATAGGGGGGGTTCCCTAATCCTATGTTGACATTATGAAGTGCTGTGAAGTCGCTCACATGGTACTTCCGCCTGAACCCTGGAGTGGTGGATCCAAGCCATTGCAGCTGTTGCACGCCCAGTCTTTTTGGACCTACACACCCCATGCGATCCCTGTGCCATGGACGGGGGGATTTCTCAACTCGCAACTACTGTCCAGAACTTCGCCCTCTTCCCAGCTTACTTCGGACGCTTTGGCGAGAGTAGGGGGACATGCACAAGCAAACTCCATGTGAGTGTTGACACTTGAGCAGATGGGCACGAGTGGGCTAATCGTCCCAGGACGCATCGATACGAGGCTTCGACCCCAGACCCAGCCAGGTCCGGAGTTCGGTGTTTAATTAGGAATGAGGCTTGGACAACAAGGGCTAAGGGTCCCAAAACTCCAGAACCAGAAGCCAAATTGGTAAACCACCAGGTGCATGGTGAATTGAATGCCAATGGCGATGTGTTGCTTTTTGGTTCTTTCGTTCTGTTTGCGCATTCGTGCCAGGATATGGGTCAGAGAGGTGCTACAAGTGTTACTGGGCCATGATCTGTGTGGGTAGTGCGAGGGACCAAACAAGCGACCAGACTCAATGGCACAACCACTTGCACTTTCTAAAATTCTAAGCAAAGTGGAAAGCTGTCTGTTTGCAGAGAGAATTGCCGATGATAGCAGGGAGAGTGCATGGTTTGCGGATGGGGATTCTTTCATCACTACAATTGAGCCGCTTGTTTGTAAAGTCCACTCTGACAGCACTGTTTCATCGGTGCGCACCGATGATGTTCTACATCCTTTTCTTCTTAGGGCTCTGAGGTGTGAAGTGAGGCTTGGCCAGACGGCAGAGTGTCTGGTAGACTGGGCGGAAGTCCACGGTCAAATCAACAGGTCCAACAGGTCCAGGTTCCGTGGGCCGGATCTGGCAACTGACCCAGTGGATTCAACCCTGCCACTCGCAAAGGCTGGGTGGCTCCTGGCTAAGGTCCACGCAGTCCACACAATTGGCTTGGTGATTCGCTTCTACTTGTGCTATAGGCATCTGGTTTTTGTGGGATGCACCAGAAGTATACAGCTAGAAGGCTAGACGTGTTTTTGGGCATCTTCCCCAGAGAAAACCACCCCTCATGCCGTGCAGCGGTGAGACCTCACCTTGTCACGTCATCATGAGCGAGTCCATGCGACCGAGGCGAAGGACGAGGCTGGTGCCATGACTCCTCCATGGACCATGATAAGGCGAGGCGCCCTTCGCCGACCGACACTTGTCGGAGAGCAGCGCCGACACATCCAGGTCGTAGCGCCGACGCTAGCGCTTCCACGTCTGAGCGAGTGATTTTGGGCGCATGTTCACCCCACGGAGGAATCTCAAAGACAGGTTCTTGAGGGCACCAAAGACCAAAGTCGGTGACAGAGGGTTCGATGCCTAAAGAAACTCCCAGTCTCACAGCAAACACTTGCTTACTCGTGGGTCCTAGAAAATACCTGCCAGCTCCGGCTACGCGACTGTTGCGGGCGCCGAAACCCCCGCGTCGGTCGCTCGCCAGCCGTGGGATGAGAAGTGCTTCTTCTGCAAGGACTACGGGGGTTGGTGGAGGGTGCAGGGTCCTATAGGGAGTTGTGGTGAAAGCATGGATCTAATCACTTCTAAAGGAGCTCGGGTCTTGAGAAGGTCTTCTTGCAGATCGATGAGGTTTCAACTAAGATCAACTAATGAATGGCGGGTTGGAGGAGGCAGAACTTGTTCCCAGGTGCTGAGCTCAAAAGATTCCAGACCTGGATCTGGTGGAAATCCACCCTCCAATATGGCCAGCAAAACACCGCACACCTCAAGTTCTGTACGGAAACTCACCCAACACCCATATGATTCGACCCACTCCCGGGTCAGAACGTCCGGTGGCAAGCAGCAAAGCAACCTGTTCCAACTCTTTCTGGCGGACAACCAGGTACACAACAGCCCAAGAGTGGGGTAAGATCGGTGCTGGATGGATCTCTTTCTTGAGGATCCTGCGGAAATGAAGAAAGCTAGTTCTCTCAACCCGATTTCGGTGAAACTGGGTGCCGGTGACATACAGGGTGCTTTTCACTCCACTTCCACGTTTGTTGCTGTCCATGTCCGTTTCACCCCCAGTATCAACCACGGGGCCGCAGATGTCAGGAGTGCAGCGGCTGCAATGGTTCGGGGCACCTCAGCGGCGGGGGCTTTAGCAGCGGCTTTGGTTTCGGCGGCTTTGGTGGAGGAGAGGTCGCAGATTGAACATGTCGCTGGTTGCTGGTGGATATCCGAAAGGTGAAGCCATGATGTGCAGCAAGAGAGCAGGGCCAGCAGGGCCATCAGCACAAGGTGGACCACTGTATGAAGGCGTCATAGGCCAGGTGTGGTGCACGTGTTTGGGCGTAAATAATTGGATTAGTGACTAGTGACTGGGTAGCACCAGACCTTTTTTGACCCAACTGGCCTTGGCCTGGGTGTAGCACAAAGGCTGTGTGCAGTGCCAAGGCCGGATTTTTGTCCTTGACCGCGTGGCACCCGCCCCCCTTCTTCGGCCTACCCTTCACAGCACTCGTGGCGAACTCGTGGTCGTGAAGACCCTGGCTCGCCAGGAGAGGAACGCTGCTATAAGTGCGAAGGCCGTGGCTTCTGCCATGACTCCTCGATGGATCACGACAAGGCGCCGCGCGTTCAAAGCGTGGTGGGGCGGGAGTGAGGCGGGACGCCGCTTTTTTTGCGCTGGTGTGGAGCCGTTGGTTTAGACATGACGTTAATACACTAGTTTGACATAGTTTGACATAGTTTGACCAGCTTGACCCAAGTTATATAGCACACACACACACATATATATATATATATTAATAAACATGCACATATAATTACCAGCGGGGCAGCACATCAATGCCATGCGGAAGACTACCATGAGTGCGCACTGTGATACAGTGTAAAATTGGATGCATGGCGGTCACGCACAATCGTTCTAGGCGTGCGCAAAGAGCCAAAAAGGGCTGCACATCAAGCCAGTCATCAAGCCATCTTTGTGAGGTGTAGCCATGGAGATTTCTTACCCAGTCAGGTCGCTCAAAAGTGAGGTAGAAATGGTCGTTGATGGGTCCTATTCGCTAAAAAAAAGCGGGACCACCAGGGACAGACCTGTGAAGCCCTGGTTCAGACTGGTGCGCGTAAGGAATCAGGGTGGCTGGATCCTGAGGTCTTTACAGGGGTCCATTCGCTTATTCCTTACGAGTCGCACGCGTCTGCCTGTTTCAGGCGCAACGGTGACTCCATGTCTCCATCGGAGCGCTCGATTCGAGCGTCCCGAGCGTTCGGAATCGATCCGACAGATCCGTTCGGACCTGTCCCGTTTGGGCTCCTGTCCCACCTCCGTTTCGAAGATGGGGTGGGTGCCGGCAAGGGTCTAACCACCGAACCTGAGGATATGGGCCAGGAGCTCTCGGGTTTTTTCGAAGCACATCATCGCCCGAGATTTATCTCAGGACATGACCAGATCCTTCGAGGCTGACATTAGGGGACCCATCACTCATCCCGAAGATGGCCGATGGCCGAGTCATGAGGTTTTTCCACATGTCAACGTGACGTCGAGATGTGCACTCTGTGGGCGGACGGGTGAAGGCTTGGAACGAGAAGTGCTTCTTTTGCAAGGAGCCGCAGCTGGCAGCTTGGGGCCGAGGTTCAAATGGATGGGGGTCTTTTTCTCTACTAAGATGAACAGTCCCCGACGGGCTCCAAATACCTCCGTTTCAAGTGCTTTTTTGAGAAGGTGAACGGAGGGTCTAAGTACCTAGAGATACCTGGAGGGTCGAAGGCCTTTGGAGATTTTGGTTTAGGGAGTACCAATCGCCTGATTTGAGAGGAAGGGACCCCCAGATGATGTATACACAAGAAGCAATAGTGACCTCACCTTCACCGCTATGGGCAGCTCCACTACACTCTAGAGAGGGTGGCATGTTTACCGGAGGTGTTGAAGTATCGAAGTAGATAATTTTCATTTGCTGTCAGCCAGCGAAAGTTCTCAAAACATTGGGGCGTGGCCAGGATTCCGGGTCAGTCCCACTGAAGCCCAATGGCAGAGAGCGCAGTGGTCTCTCACACTCTCTTCGACCCCCCTGCCTGCACTCCAGAAGTCCAATAAGATAGAACCTGCCCAGATGCATGTCTTCTCAACCAAAGAGTTGCATTTTACGAGTGTATCCCTCAAGATTTGACAAACAAGCTTTGTTCGCCACCTTTGATTTCAGGAGTGCAGCGGCTGCAAGGGCTCCGGGCACATCAGCAGCGGGGGCTTCGGCTTCGGTGGAGGTGGAGGAGAGGGCGAGAAACTGACGCTTTCCACGACCTGAGCTCCCGCTCATGCAAGCACCACCAGTTTTCTTTTTCAGCTGTCTTTGCGATTTGGGCGCGCATGTGGGTCGAAGCTTCTGGTGTTTTAGTACCTCAACATACCTCAACCACCGGCGGGTGGTGGAAGGCCCGGGCAGCAACGCAACGCTTGACGTCGCGTCGCATCGACCGATGGACGTCAGGACGATGCTACAAGTGCGAGGGCCGCGGCTTCTGCCATGACTCTTCGATGGACCACGACAAGGCCAGGGAGAGGTTGTGAACTCAGGATAGGAACGGGGTGGTACGGGGGGCCGGCTTGGCTCTGGACGGATGGCTGGATGGATGTGTATGGCGAAAGAGCTTCATGGAGGACTTGAACTGCCGAAGGGTGGATTCCGAAGTGCGCAGGACACATGGAATCTGGACAGCCGCGCGCGTTTTTCTACCCCAGTTTCGGCCTTCCAGGCAGTCCCCCAACGGTTTTTCCATTGAAGGCCTACGAACCTCCTTCCATTGATACATTCTACTGTAGTGATTCTAGTGGAAGTTCCGGCCACGAATGGTAGGTCGCAGTCGCGGTCGTATTTGGTCGTAGGCTTGGGATGAGAAGTGCTTCTTTTGCAAGACCTGCAGCGGATGCCACGGCAAGGGCCACCTTTGAGACACTAGCTGTCGGAACGGCGGGACTGTAGCAGCTCAAGACCAGTTCTGTCACATGGGAGGAGATTGAAGCCCAATGGCAGTCAATGGCACCCCCCTGGCCTTGGCATGAGGAATCCCATGGTCTTTCCAGGGGAACTGATTTCGTGCACGGAGGGCAATACAGGTAACCAGGTCGGACGGATGTAGCAAGAGCATCTACCCCATGCTGGTCATGGAATACCTTGGAACAACACGTAGAAACTTCCACGTAGGGTCGCCTAACAACAGTTGCATCGGCTTTGAATTCCTTATCTTTATACTGCAATCACATATTTCCATTTTCCAGACCCAAACGAGACCATGTGACACCATGTGTTTTCGTTTGTTTTGGTGCCATTCACGCAGCACACATCCCGATAGATAGAGAGAGATAGATAGATATAGATATAGATATAGATAATTTATAGATATATATATATAGATAGATATATAGATATATAGATAGATACAGATAGAAATATATAGAAATATATAGATATAGATAGATATAGATAGATAGATAGCTAGATAGCTAGGTAGCTAGGTAGGTAGATAGGTAGATAGATAGATATACTGTATAGATATAGATATAAATACAGATATAGACAGAGTGTGAGATTCTTATGAGACAAATGGTTGGATTGATAGTTAGATAGCGACCTAGGTATAGATATAGATGCTTAGAGGGGGGTGATCTTGTCTGGTTTCTATCTATCTCTATCTCTATCTCTATCTCTATCTCTATCTCTATCTCTATCTCT